GTGGTGCAGGAGGGAGGGAAGAAGTCAGGGAGGAGAAGGGATGGGAGGGGGCCTTGGGAGCTCACAGGAAGCTGCCTCCTCTCGGGGCAGGGGGGACTGAGATGCTGACTGAATGTTCTCGGTCACGTCTTTGCTTCTTCCCCTCCCTGCAAACTCTGCCCTTGCTGCCAGCAGAGCCGAAGGGAGCCGAGCTGGTGACGTGATGGCTGAGGCTCTGACTCGCACAGTAACCCCCGTGTCTCTGAACTGTTGTCAGGTGTGGCCCACATCATGTTTAAGGTGGAGATCATGTCCAACGAAGACCGGGAGTGGCACGAGTCCTTTTCTCTGGTGCTGGGCCCAGATGATCCTGTGGAAGCAGGACCTAGGGACCTGCTGATTCAAGGCTGAAGTGAACCTTTAAGAAATGAGGAACAGGTTGAGTATGGAATTATCAGAGCGCAGCACAACTCGCTGCCTGTTGGGGAGGGTGAAACAGGGAAACCTTATGAATGTGATTGTTTGGCAGAACATTCTGAAAAAAGAAGGCTAGAATCGAAGTAGAAATGAAAGCCTGCTTTGAGTCATAAGATACAGAGTACTGGTTACTATATGACCAGAGAACAATAGCCTAGCCAGCTAAAGGAAAATCCCTGCTGATAAAACAATGCCCTTCTGCTGACAGAAAGCCCAAAGGCCAAGAAGCAAGGAAAGAACTTGTAAAGCTTGTACAGCCTCAAATGCAACACTGTATGTAAAGTCTTTAGTGGGTGTATCTCATAGTGATTGGATACTGGGAATTAGAATATTCACTGTAGAAAAAGATACATTGGATTGTGACAAGAACTTTGCTCTCTTAGCTTTTCACTCTTAAACCTCTCTCTCTTACCTCTTAACCTCTCTCGTACCTCTTGGCTCTTCTCTCTTACCCCTTTACTCCTCTCTCAGCTCCCCTCTCCCCCTCTCTTACCTCTTCCACTCTTTCCCTCTCTTACTCTTACCCTCTTGGTTTTTCCCCTCTTACCCCTCTCTTGTCTCCCCCATCTCCTAAGCCTCCCTGGTTTCCCCCGCTCTCCCTCTGTTGCTCTTACTCCCTCCCTCCCCTTTTCCAACCTCTCCTCCCCTGCTCTCCCCGCTCTCTCCCCTCCCCTGGACCATGTGGACGCCGAGGCTGGTGGTGGACACAGGTCTCCCCTCTCTTTACCCTTATAATAAATTGCTTATACCTGAACAGCTTGACCCTGGAGAAGTCTCTCACCGCAAGCGAGCATTTTACACAGCAATATCTAAGCAATGATTTCTAAACATTTATCCAAGCTTAAACAGCTTATTCCTAATTATCACCACCTTTATAACCAGCGCTCACCTGCCCCTGCAATACACAGGCACAGGGAGGGCACTGCAGTTATTTACACAACAGAACAAGTAACATACCAAATTAAACACCCAGCACTATACCTCACTTTTGGAAACAAAACCTGGGCAGACACTTCAGTGTGCAAAACACCTGTAAGAATAAAACCTGCTCTAAATATCTTAGGCATCAAGCCACAGACACGCCTATGAGATTCAGTGCAGCAGTGACAAAAAAAGGAATTATTTCCTTAACTTGTGAATAATCACCTCTAAGATTCTGTGATGCAGTTGCCACTGCACACAGCCACAAGCGGCCTTTTTATTAACAGGCAAAAGAACAAAGGCAATCCCAATTTCTCCCTTTTTGTCTGCAAAGAAACAGAGAAGGGAGAGATGCTTCTCAGAGGAGCATGGTAAAAAGACACATGGTGTAGAATATGGAACAGCTGATGGTTCAGCATCTCTTCCACTGCAAGATCTAGAGGATATCTGATGATACCTTGGAGGCAGGAGTCACAAAAGCTGCCGGAGAGGGAAGACAAAGGAGCTCAACGCTATCTGCTCTTAGGTTTTAGCACTGTGACCTTTACCTTAACTTACAGTTAAGTGTTTCTGACAGTGTAAATGCCTTTTGTTTTGATTTTAACAGAGTACAAGAATTCAGTGATGAAGTAACAGTGGCATACAGCCTTTAATTTCCCCTGGTCCTCTCACCCAGCAATGAGGTCTCACAACAACAATACAACAATAAATAGTTATAGAAGGTAACTCACTGTGCTGAAGAGTTCTTCAGAAGGATGGGAGCCACAATTGAGGCAGATCCTTGGACAGACAAGCCAGAGGTGCTTAGGCCTCGTGTTTCCCCCTTACCCCAGAACCAGCCCCAAAAGGGGAACACAAAGTTCACAGGCTTCTCTTTGAAATTAACGCCATATAAAGAACAAAACATCCTAAAAAAGCCACGTTTGTCTCTAGAGTACATCAGATGATCAATGCACGGCCTTGAATCTATTTTTTTCCCCCTGGGTTCCTCCTTTCCATCCTTCTGCGTAGCCTTGTAGCAGATAAATCTGTTCAATAAAGGGCCCAGCTGACTGTGAGCAGAAGGCAAAGCAGAGGATTTGTCAGCATGAAAACCCACACTGCAAAGATGAACGAGCATCAGGGGCAGTTAAAAATCTGCTAGAAATTAGTGCTAATGTCACACTACCCTCTCTTCCCTGTTTTCCATATCTAAAAGGAAAGGAAGTTGTGTGTGAGCCAGAAAAGCTAAAAGGGTAGGGCAATGTGCTCACCTGCCATCCCACACAGCTTGGTGTGACTTAATGCACCAAACACAAGGGAATCGTTGCCAGCTGGGCAATAGACACCACGAAGCACACAGGTTTTCCGTGCTGTCAGCAGCTGCAAGGGGAGGATTGCCTCCGAGAAACATACCAAAACAATGAAAATTAAAATAAAACAAATTAACATCTATTTCCACCACACATGTTTAAATTTATATACCATATTTATTTATATATGACAAGCAATATATAAAGTATCAAAATATATTATTTTAACATGTATACGTATGTTATTATATATTAAATATATTATATACA